CACCTGCCCCGTGGATCTTGTCCCTTCACAACAACTACGGTCACCCTCTTCTTCTATCCTATGCTCCCTCACTCACATCTTCAATCCCTCCCTCTCTACTGGTGCCTTCTTCTCCCCTCTAAAGAAATCCCAGATCACTTCCATACTTAAAAAGCCCTCACTGGACCCCACCAATCTGAACAACTTAAGACCCATCTCCCTGCTCCTGTTTACCTCTAAACTCTTAGAACACTTAGTCTACAATCACCTGAGCTCCTACCTCACTGACAACCTTCTTGACCCTTTACAGCCTGGCTTTCGCTCACTGCACTCCATTGAAACTGCTCTACTAAAACTCCCTAATGACTTACTATTAAAAAAACACAAGGGAACGCCAACCTAAATGAAATACGTGTAAAAAGTTTATTGATAAAATTAACTGAATAGCTACTTACAAGGAAGATGTGTAATAAGGTATTGAAAACATGTCCTGTGGAGGCTAGTAGAGGGGATGATGGTGTCCAGTGCTGCCTGGGTACCAGGAGAGAGATGTGTGGTAAACTGTCAGTGGTGGACGCCGTGACAGGCGCTATAACCAGCGTTGAACGCACGGAAATCCGAAACCAGAGGGCAACCAATAGGGGTGCAAGGACGGATCAGGTGATGAGTCAGGTGACGTGTTTCAAAGCTTCCGCTTTTTCTTCAGACCTCAGAGTAGCCCCAACACCGGAGCAAGAATTTTTGTGAAAACTCTGGGAGTCGTGCCCAGCCCAAACTGTAGTGCTATGAACTGGAAATGCTGAGCCCCTATTGCAAACTGCAGAAATATTTGGTGAGGAATGAATATCAGTACATATAGATATGCGTCCTTGATGTCTCTGGACGCTAAAAAATCTCCTTCCTGTAGGGAGGCCACTACTGACCGAACTGATTCCATAGGAAAAGATCGGACATTTAGAAACTGATTTAGCCCCTTGGGGTCTAAAATGGGCCTTACATCCCCATTTGGTTTTGGGAGTGTAAACAGGGTTGAATATAAACCACTGAAACCTTTCGTCCACTGGAGCCTCGCGGTCACTCCCTGAGACAGTAGGCAATCGAGTGCCTGAAATAAAGCTCTTCCTTTTTCTGGATTTACTGGTACATTGATTTTAGAAACCTTGGAGGGGAAAGACACAAAATTCTTGTCTCTACCCCAGAGAAATCATGGAAATTACCCATTTGTCCCAGTCAGCATACATAATTTGCTCCAGAAGAGAATGCACCGGGAAGGCCTGAGTACTCTGTGGAGGCTTCAAAGAGCCCAGAGAAGAATAGTAAGATTTCTATCGGAGGTAGCCTGAATCCAGATCACACCATATCAGTGAGGTCCTGGGCTAAAAATCTCGGAGACTGGGAGGCACTGGGAGATCACCTGCTTCTCCTCAGGCTGTTACTCCTCAGACAAAGATTCTGCTGCCTGCCCTTCCTCCAGTTCTTATTCATCCTCAGGTTCCACCCATTCCTGCTTCAGGATTGGTGGTTCTAGTGACGGGGATCTATCCCGCTTCTTAGTCCCCTGAGAAATTGATGCAATCATCCCAGAGATCTTATCTTCAAAACAAGTTAAGGCTGAAGCAAGATCATACTTGGTTACATCTGCCAAAGCAGATGCCCCAGTAGTAGCCTCAATACCAGATAGACACAATGGCTCAGACTGCCCAGTTGCTTCTGGCCTGTCAGGAGAGGATATTACAGCGGTACTTCGACTAGGTTCCTCTGGACCTGGTGGCTGCACATTAGTGCCCTTTCCTGCTGCACCTCCCCCACTCCGCTTTCTAGAAGACATTACGTCAGATAGCGCAATACCTTTGCACCTCCACCAGTAAACACAGACCACAAAAAACAGCTATGCAAGTATAGTGCTGAAGGAAAAAAAAACCTCTCAATGCAAATTTTGACCTTGTATGCCACCAAGGGCAGATCCTGACTGACTGGCCATTGTTTCCCCCCCCTCAGGGGAGTATTCACGTGCCCCTACTGAATAGCCTGCTCTGTGTCCCAGCCACAGGAAGCTCCCCAGCAGCAGCAACAGCCCACGTGTCCTAGCCTCCTAATAAACAACTATGGCCAACTTTCGTCTCTGGCACAATCCTCGTGCACGCACACACCCTATAGTCGGTGGCCAGTTGAACTCCCTCTAGTGGCCGAAAAACAAGAAAGGAAGCACATCTCTGGAACAATCATGAGCACTCCCCCCCCTGGTGGAAATCAATCAACACACATCTCCTTTTCCCTCCAATAGAGCTTTGTCGTTTCTCCTTACAGAGGGGGAAAAAAAAAAAAAAAAAAAAGGAGATATCTTACCAGTCCCACCGCAGGTCCCTGACTTCCGCCAGGCACCTTCACACATCATGGTGGCATTGTCATTCAAGGGCCCATACTGAGAGACCACTGCCTCGGACCTGTAAAGCATCCCACTGGAAGCGCCTTGGTCAGATTAAAAACTGTACAGGGTTCCATCTGCGCGGGGTCCAGTGCTGTAAGGCTGCAATACAGGCAAAACCCCTGAGGATTCTTCCCCTTATCCAGTAAGGCACGGGTACCATCCATTTTGGCTCACAGCTTTCCAAATGGATCCGATTAAAGTCCCTGATCCTCTAATGGAACCAAGCACAAACAACACTTTCAGTGACCATTCACCTTATAGACACTGGCGGAAAAAACTAAAGTACTTCCTGTGTGGGAGGGGATATATAGGGGAGGACCTCCTCTGATTGGTTGGCCAGTGTCCATTCACCTACAGGTGGCCTATAACCCATATAATCACAAATAGCCTGCCCTGTGTCCTGTGATATACGATAAAGAAAACACCACACCAATAAAAAAAGGTCTCACAATGAAAAATCCATTGTCAATTTAGTTATCTACCAATGTAAATGCTTGTCAAGCACAATAAACAATGCCCACCTACCCCGCTGTAAAAAAATGATTTGCCAGAATGTCTTACAGCCTAATAAATAAAGTGGTGGGGTCCCCAGGGTGATATCATTGACCAAATATGGCCATGACCAATACTGGCCAATTCCCCATAGCATCACTGATCAATATTCTCACCTGGGATACCCCACCCCTTTATTTACAGCTAGGGAATGGTCATTTGCAGCAAATGAGTAACATGTTCATCTGTGTGGGACAATTTGATGATGGATTTGCTTTTGTAGCACTTTTTAATTTTTTTTTTTATATAAAGGACTTACAATTTATAAATACACACCACACTGTTTGGCAATTATTTTTAAAAGGGCTTCTAGAAGCCCCTTTTCCACGTAGAGTGTATTTTGTCTGGTGTGGTTTGGGGGAAGGGAGCTGGGGGTGAAGCAGAAGAAGGTAGGGCTGCCTCGCTGCCTACCCCTTTTGCAGGCTTCATGTTCTGATGAGGGCCTGGTACTGGATCCCACTTTTTTCGTGGGTTCCCCCTTAAATTCATCTGTGTCCCTTTTTTTGCTGAAGCTTTCCAAATTACAGGTGAACTACTGGGTGGGAATATGCTATAGGGCATCAGAAAAGTATTTAGCACTAATTTCAACAGAGAGCTTTAGGAGGGTGAGAAGTATGAACAAGTGCGGATATTATTAGACTGATGTGGATAGTGGGGGCAGCCCCTCCAAAAAAGCTCCTGAGAACTGAGTGGGGGGATCTGGTAAAATAAAATGTTCCTAGTGGGGAAAATGTGAAAGAACCTCCTTCATACAGTGTGGGGAGATGTATGACGCAGGTTAGTGTAGATAACCCAAGGCAAATATGTTTTTATTAAGTATAGAGCAGAGTATTAATAAAGTTTTCTACCATATGTTATTACTACCACACAAAGTTTTTAGCTTTGTTCACAAGCCAGCCGTGTCTGAGAAGTTGTTTTCCCAATATGTCACCATGGAGCGGGTGTATTTGTAGAGGTGGGTGTTGGATACATGTTATATGTTGTCTTGCTCCCAATACTCTATGAATGTGACAGTTTGCTTTAAATGATATATTTAACATTTAGAAAAAGATTTTGTGGTATGAAGAGTATACAAATAGAAGCCAGTATAGGTTTGTGGCTATAGCGTCTCTACACCATTCACTTAGAGTGTCTGAAACCATTTGATCTATTTGGAAGTAATGTTTATTCAAATGTTTGGATTTATGCAGTGGCTTGTACTCCACTGTCCCCTTTGGGTCCTCAGGGGTTTGGCCCCCTGGTTTTTCTCCTCCCCCTGGTGCACCTGCAATATGATACTCTATTCAACCAGAATGAGAAAAAATAAATTTTTGACTATGTTCTTGTTTTTGTTTATATTAGTAGTTAAATGTCTATATGTTGATGGCTTATGAAGAAGTGAATCAAGTCCATGAAACGCATTGACCCCAAGCCTAACAAGAATCAGCCTAAAGTTTATAAACAATGGGAACATATGCGAAGAGATATGCTGTTCATAATGTTTTGCAATTTTCAGTATTCTGCAGTACTTATTTCACAGATCTCCCTAAACTTATCTACACTAACTATTAATATTAAAATATATATGTGTGCCACATCCCTAATAATGTATATTTGAACCAAAGACTTTTGAGGCACAACATAGACATAAAAACATAATTTATTGTGGCAGAATCTAACATATGTGACATCTATTTCACATCAATACTGAATCGTATAAAAAGGAAAAGTTTACAGTAAAATTTTCCTTATTATCCTTCAGCATTATATTGTAAGGTGGCAGAATTTACACTTATATTTGTCATGTTAAGCTAGTCAGGACTGAGTCTCCAATATCCAGTCAAAGCCGAGCTTATATGTGCTATAGCTAATTGGCCCTGAAAAGCTACTCACATCTAAGCTGTGTCTCATGGACCAATCGCTCTCAGGAAACCGGAATATGTTTTCCACAGTAACAGAATCCTTCAGTTAAAACAGGACGATGTTGCAATAATATTTTAAAAATATTCTATATAAAATTATATTGCAATATGATGGCAAAAGAGAAACTCAAATTACTGACCTGCTCCTTCTTCTCAAGAGTCAGGGCATGTTCTTCAGCTATCTTTGCTCGGTGTGCTTGATGGGCCTCATTTTGCTCTTGAAATTTTCGCACTGTTGCTAGAAAAAAAAAATATATAACCGTTTGTCCCACAAAGTGTTTTCTAAAGTTAAACTGCAGGGCAAACAACTAAATAATAAGTGGAATACATATGAGTCTGTTTTACCTGTTAAAATATTTGTATTTCTACCAATCCTGTTTTGAGGTTTATACAACCTTACCACGCAGTCAAGTGGAGGACACCACTTACAAATAAGAAATGCTGTGGTATCATCATTCATTTACAACCTTGATGGCTCGGTAGAGAGAGTCCAGGCAGAGGTAATCTCATTTAAGAAGTCAAAGATGGATAAAACCATCCATAAACCGGCTTTCAGCAATTGGCGGGCTTACTGAAAAGGCACAAGCTTCAGCTACTGTTTCAACACTTTTTACAATATAAGGTTTACAATTAAGCATTTTTGAGTGTGAAATATGTCAGCACACTGACACTTGTTGTGCCAGCACACTAGGTGACATTTGTGCCTTTAAAGTTCAATAAAGAAGAATGCCACCAGCACACAGAGGATCTCCAATATGGGTCCAAAGCTTTCATAAGGGATCACATAGTTACAGCAAGAGCTGAAGGACCCCTTTATAAGGCATGTGACAAATTGTGATAAAACAGAGAAACTATTTAAAGAACCATCCAATCAGTGCAAAGAATATTAGTCAAGCCCTGCCCCTTAACTTCATATTCCTGCCATATAATAGACCTTTGTCAACAACATAACTGTTCAAAGCCTTCATAAGTGTGCTGCAAAACAGTAATCAGATATGTACTGTATATAATGCACTGCAGGGGGAGGGTGTAGTGTGGTCACATATTCATATTATTATTCCCCAAGTGCTAAAGTATTGTGATTGGGCATTGGCACCGCATCATGTAAACAAAGGGTAGGCTTGACATTGTTGCTAGGAGACACCAGGGGTGTCTCTAGTCACCAGTATATATCCCACTGTGCGCACGTGCACCATGGTCTATTTATTTGACTAGGCCGGCCGCTGGTGTCAGGGTAACTCATGACACTGGGTGGGTGTGTCCCATTTCCTTTGCACCGATTGGTGGATGGTTCTTTAAATAGTTTCTCTGCTTTATCACAATTTGTCACATGCCTGATGAAGGAGGTCCTGTGCGGCTCCAAAACATAACTCTTGTTGTAACTATGTCATCGCTTATTTAAGCTTTGGACCCATATTGGAGATCCTTGGTGTGCTGGTAACATTCTTCTCCTCTGACTTCTCTCAGTTCCAGCAGATGGTCGCTGCAGCATCTGCTTGTGTACATAGCCATTTCTTAACACAGGAAGGTATTCGTTGCGATCAGGCATTCTAGTTTTTAACTTTCAATAGACCCCTATATTTCTACAAGCAATATTATAGACTTTTTTTTCCCCATTCAGTTCACTAATTTGCATTCAGGAAAGGCTGGGTTCCAAGTTGTAGCAGCAGTTGTACGGAGTCTGAACAGCCCTGGAAGCAGCCCAAGTCATTCATTCCCATTTACTGGAGGTTATCTCTCTGCTCACTGTTCTCTACCCTTCAAATCAGCAAATTCCTTATCAGCACGCATGCATGGAGCACATATGGTTGACTTCAAATCCAGTACCTTTCTCCCAGTCGGAGTGCAGCTATATAGCAAGTAAAATTCAGGTACTTTTACTACTTGCATAATGAAAAATACATTATTACAATAAATTATTTAATAAAGCTGCAATGATTTGTGTCTTTTATATCTACCTGGGGTCCACAAAAATTACCAGAAGGAATCTTTCGACTTATGCCACCAGATTTAAGCTTTTTTTTTGTTGCTATAAAAAGTGCTGCAATTTATATTTGACATTGAATCATGGAAAAGAAGTAATTAACATTTTAGGCAAGTTCATCAAGTTGCTTCAAAATCACTATACTAAAGTACTGGAGGATGATAATGTATAGAAAGACCCCTCTAGTATCACCATCTGTAATTGTATATACATTGTATATATAATTGTATAGTAGATAAACCAAAAAAGAACATACGTTGGACTGATCCTCTTAAGTCAATGCATTTCACACAGTGGCCTTTTCAGGAAACTGAGGACCAAGAGAAGTAGCAATTGTACTATGGTTTATGGTTCCAGCGACTAATTAAAGGCTACTCCTGGGGAGGACACTGGCACAAGAAGATAGAACAAAGGAACAGCGGCCCTTCCAGGAGCTTCCTGTGGTGTACAGGAATTTGCTTAATGTGTGCTGGATATTAAAAGCCCAAAACAACATTTTGAAAACTAATCTGTACACACAGATGGTCTAAAATCTCTATGTGGAAAGGAGTTCTGAATCCTTTTGCACAAAAAGAACAAAATTATGAATTGGTATTGGTAAGGTTGATACAAACTGGTCACAACTTGTAGCATGTGTAAGTGTGGGTGTATAGCTTAGAACTACAGGTAACAGCTCCAGACAATGGAGGACAGATGGAACCATCAAAATGGATCTGAGATCCCTAGCCATGTTTTTTGGACTAGGCTGCTGAGGTCTGACAAAACAGACTTCATTGTGACAGAAGGTTGCATAGCCAAATTGGCCAGGGAGAGAACAAGGTCTTAAGGAGTGCTTCTAACCTTTTGTCCACAGGGTCTATGAAGATCAGTACATCCTCAATAGGGATTGTTAAAGTTTTGCTAGGGCAGGAAATGGCAGGGTCTAGAAATGGGATTGCCCATTTCTTTAGAATTTTTTTGTTAATAGTATATTGCTGAGCTAAACAGAGAGAAAATCTTTTTTTTCTTGGTGAGGCCAATCACAGTACAACACAGGCCGCAAAATATGTGTACTAGGAAGGCTTTGGCATAGTTTCACTGAATCTTGGCTGGTGACCTTTTTCCTAGTCGATGCAGGTGGCTCTACACAACTGGTCCTGGTTACAAACAGAGGAAGTTTGGATGTAGACATTCTAGCCTCCAGATTCAACAACAGAGTCCCCCATTTTTAACATATAAGATTGAAGATGTCTGGGTGAAGAGCCTATTCCCCCTTGATCCATGCAGTAGTGGCTGAGTGAGTTTGCTTTCTTTCTGGTTTTCCACTGCTGGGATGTGGAGCACAGAGATCAATGAACAGTGAATTTCTGTTCATGAGATTACCTGGCTTGCTTCCTCTGGTGTCCCCTTGATGTATGTCACAGCTGTGGCAATATCTGACTGTACCCTGATTGGGTGTCCTCATAAAAGAGGGGGGTTCAATGTTTCAGAGCACGGGTGTAAAACCGACGGCCCTCCAGCTGTTGCAGAACCACAAGTCCAATCATGCCGCTGCCTATGGCAGAAATTTAAAAAGGTATTTGTTGACAGATTTTACCTCGAGAATAGGATGAATTCTCCCAGTGGGCACTGGTACTGTAAACTGGCTTTAATAAAAACTTTTGAACTGGTATTTTTGAGGTACAGGCACAACTAATACCTGGGACAAAAGATGGTTCAGGACATTCTGCAAAGCTGCTGTCCTTGGGCAGTTTTTGGTAGATCTGAGAGAAGAAAATGTTGAGGGCATAGAGTTTTGAACTCTATTTTGTATCCCTTTGAAACCACCAATTTAACCCACAGGTCTGGGGCGTCTGTGTGACCCAGACATGGACAAACTGTAAGAGACTTCCCCACCTTTCACTGAGAAGAGGATTTTGGGGAATACTTGCTGGGCTTTGTGTACCAAGTCTTGCACTGAAAAGAAGGGCTGAACTTCGATTTGGAAGTTTAAGACTGGGTAGAGCGGACAGGTGCTCTGCATTTTGAGGTGGTAGAGGCTCCTGAAGCCGGGGTTTTGGGATCTTCTGCTGTGGGAGCAAAACCTTCCCTCCTGTGATACATGCCCTTTGTGTAGGAACCGCTCTGTCAAGGAATTTGAAGCCTGCATTCTGCAATGACCACTTGTATGGGTTCTATCTAAAACTTGTGAGCTCAAATTTAGAAATTAAGAGCCTTGAGATCCAAGATGGGATAGATGTCCCTTTTGAGCTTGGGAACCATAAAAAAAAAAAAAAGTAGAAACAGAATCCCTAAAAGAGGTTCAGCAGCAGGGACAGAGTCATTGACACCGTGGTCCAGGAGCTCTGACAACGCATGATGAAGGTCTACAAGGTATTGTAACGACAAATGGAGATTTAAAAAATTAGAAAGTGGGGAGGGCAGGGAAAAAAAATTCAAACTTGCAATTCTTGCACCCATGCATTAGGAATGCAAAATGTTTAAGTGCTCTCCAACAGGTTATCCCCCATTCCCCCGGAAAGTTGGGAAGCACCTTCATGCTCAGGTGGGATTCTAGGTGTATTGCCAGACCATGCAGGTAAAAGGGAACCAACCTTGGGGGCCTTTATATTGAAGTCGAGGTTAAACAGTAACAAGGCTTCTGTAAAGACATAAAGCAATATGACATGCAAGTCTGTTCCTTGTCTCTCTTAACCTCATAAGGACCACCCACAGTACATTTACTGCTGCAAGGCGGCCCTTCTGTGCAAAATCACGTGTGTATATATATATATATATATATATATATATATATATATATATATATATATATATATATATATATATATATATATATATATGTGATTCGTGCTCCTGGCGTCTCCAACCACCCACCAATCCGCGGGTGTCCCGCTTTGATCCCCGAGGGATCAGTCATCCGATTTAGGCCAGTGATGTCCAGCCCAAGTCAGATGATCGATCCCTGACCTATCCTGTCCTGTGTGGACAGCTATAAAGGACAGGAAGTGATGAAATCTTCTACCCCTGGGCACAATCCGTCTCAGAGAGAAGAATCAACAAAACGGTGAGTAAAATCACTACACAATTACAGTTAGAACACTAGGACACATTTAACACCTTGATCGCAACCCCCCCCCCCCCCCCCAAGATAACCCCTTCACTGCCCTGTCACCAGTGTCATTAGGACAGTGTACAGATTTTTTTTGTTCATCACTGTATTAGTGCCGCTGGCGACTTCAGATAGAGCTAGCGTCAGTTAGCGTCCCTCCCAGATAGTGTCAG